AGTCACAACCACCTAAACTCCAGTTCCAGGGAGTGGGCACCTGTGCTGACATACAAAGACATACAAATACACATAATTAAGAATAAGGAAATCTTTTTTAAAACTATTGTAGATTTATTTCTAAGCAGAATTAAGAAGGGATGGGGATGGCCGTGGATATGTACCAGTTCTTCCACTTAGGTACAGATTTGTATTTTGCTTAGAGGGAAAATGCCTAAACCCACTAAACAAGTTTAACAGGGTAAGGAGTAACTTAGTGTTTTCCAACACAGCTCCAGGACTTTATCCGTGTCTCCATGGAGCTGACTAAAAGCTAAACAAGCACAAAAGGAAACAGAAGGGATTCTGGAGGAAACTTCCTTTAAGCAGCTGGAATCCAGGAAATGTGGGTTTTCAAGAAAAATTAAGCTATAAGATAGACCTCGAAAGAGGTGACTCCTCAAGAGGTGGTCTACACAGGGAATGGAGACTGTGTTAGAATCTTTGTCTGCCAGCATTTTGGCCATTTTAGGAAATGGAGAAAGAAGTAAATGTTATTGTGGCCTTATTGGTTCCATACACCCAGCATTCAGTGTAACTCAGTGAATTTTGGAAGAAGGAGCCTACATTATTTGGGGGCAAGAGAAAGAAAGTTAGCCTTGAGGAGATTATGCACTCCTGCTAGAACAAAAAAAAAAAAAAAAAAAAAAAAAAAAAGGAAAAAAGGAAGCAATACTTGTTACCTCAGAATAACTTACAGGCAAAATATAAAAGTTTGAAGTCATCCATTAACTCTACCCAGAGACAACAATTTAACATCTGGTGATATTTCCAAACAAACAAACAAACAAAAAGATCGAAGGAATGCAGGGCAGAGGTGGGAGAGCCAGTACAGCTTCTCAGAGTCAATGAGATGCTGTTGACTGGTTGTGATCTAGCATGAAGACATGAGTGAGTGATTAGTAAAAGGTAGCAAAGCTTATGAGTTCAAGGATGCAAGTGTGGCCCCAGGTTTCAGCATGCTTCACTGCAGGAATCATGTTTAAACTGGAGAACAAGCAGGACTATATGATACCATGAAGAGAGGTTCACAAGCTCTCTACTGCCATTGCTAAAGGTAAGGGTGCTTTTTATCTGGACAGGCAGCTCATTTAGCTTAAGAGATGTGGTGGGAGGTGCATTCTAATCTCAGAAATTCAAAGTCTATGTTTTTTCTCATATGTGGAATCTAGATTTAAAGTTTTACATTTGTATGTGTATACTGATGGGTTATGAAACTAGAAAGAGGGTCATGAGAGGAGGAAAGAGTTAGGGTAAATTAGTGTAATGGGGCACATGTGATGAAAGCAGGAAAAGTAGTTTGGGGAGGAAGAAAACCAGTTGGGCCATCAGGGGGCATGTGGTAGGGAAGGCTTTGAGGGAGGGAATGAGTCAGAACAAAGCATACCAACCACGGAAACACCATAGTGAACCCATTCCTCTGTAGACAAAATAGACTTCCCCATGGAAAACACATTTCAAATGATTTCCTGGTGAGTAGCTATCTAAACCATGACTCACAATGATATATACACAGTATCATAAGAATGTAGCATGTTGTATTTAACCACCAGGGTTAGCTGGGCAGTCTCAGGTTTTCTTCACCTTGGATTTGCTACTGGGAAGTTACTCAGCAATGAGTCAGTTCTTGGTTCAAATTCCTTGCAATTCACTTGGGAGCAACTCCAAGTTATGAAACTACTGGACCAGAGAGGATCAAAATTTTTTAGAGCTATCAATAAATACTGCCAAACTTCTGGTCAGAAAGAGTAAACTTAGCCCTCCACAGTCAGGCTTAGGAGCAGCCCTTCACTGAGTTGTTATCAACACCAGATACAATGTAATAATGATTTTAATATACTCAATTATTTTTAATTTTGTATTCTCCACATGCTTTCCTCTCCTTCCCTTCTCTTTCTCCTAGCTCTCTCTCCACTCCCTGCCCACCCCCCACTCCCAATTTGCTCAGGAGATCTTGTTCCTTTCCACTTCTGTGAGTGACCTTGTATTGTAAAACCTGCGGAGGATGTGGACCTTCACTCCCCAGCTCAGGAAAGGTGCTCCCCCCCCCCCACAAATCACTAACGAGAAGCGGTCTTGATGCAAAAGCATGAGGTATTTTATATTCCAGTGCACTGGGGCCCACAGCCACACTCCACGTGGAGTGTGGAGACTGGGAACCCGGGTACAGGGTTTAGACAGCTTTTATAGGGTTACAACAAAGCCCGCACATCATTAACCAATCATCTCATAGCATCCTGTGCGGACCAATTAATTTGAACTATCCAAGCCCATGCTTGGCTCAGGAAGTCTGCTTTCGCTAGGGCTTCTGGGTAGTGTGACAAAATCATTCCTTCACAGGTGCTGTCGTAAAACCGCCCTGTCGTAATAAGTCAAGAATGTGGCCTTTTTCCTACTCCTGGGGGTCAGTGGAGAGTTAGGCTAAATTTTTCCATCCTTACATTATGAATCTCTCAGATTTCTCCTTGTATACTAGTTTCTCTGGCAGTGTGAATAATAAGCACGTGGGACTAGGAAGATTGGGTTAGGGGAGGAATAGATGAGAGAAGAGAGAAAGAGAGCGAGAGAGAGAGAGAGAGAGAGAGAGAGAGAGAGAGACCATAAAAGAGGGAACTATTATAGGTTTGAAGAGAAATCTGACTCTAGAGAAATGTCCAGAGACCTACAAGACTGACCCCAACTAACAATTTGTAACAATTTGAGCAACAGTGGAAAGGCTACCATAAATGCCCTTCCCTGATAATGAGATCAATGACTAACTTACCACCATCATAGAGCCCTCATCTAGTAGCTGATGGAAACAGAAGCAGACACCCACAGCTAAACACTGAGCCGAACTGGAATCCAGATGCAGAGAGGGATGACCAGACCAGGCTACAGAAACCCACAGAGACAGCTGACCTGAACAAGGGGGAGCTAATCGGCCCCCAGACTGATACCTGGGAAACCAGCATTGGACAGACACAGAATCCCTGAACATGGGCCTCAGTTAGAAGGCCTGGGCAGTCTAAGGGACCTCTGACAGTGGAACCAGGATGTATCCCTGGTGCACAAAAGGACTTTGGGAACACATTCCCCATGGAGGGATACTCCCTTAACCTAGAGGCAGGAGGGAGGGCCTGGTCCCTACTCCAAATGACTTGACAGATTTTGATGATCCTTCCTGGAAGGCACCACCCTCCCTGTGGAGTGGGGGGGGGGAATGGGATAGGAGGGTGGTGGTGGGGCATGGGAGGGAGGGAAAGAGAGATGGAGGGAGGGAGGGAGAAAGGGAGGGAGGCAGGCAGGGAGAGGGAATTGGGATCAATATGTAAAATAAGAAAAATAATAAATAAAATTTTGTATTCTCCAAGAGTTAGCATTTTCATGAATTGAGTGGTCAACACTGTTCCTATTTTTGTTGGTTATCTATTCTATGGATTTGCCAAGAAGTCCTTATACTTCATGAATACGCTAATAATATCTACTATGTTTGTCCTTTATACATGCTAGTATATGGCTTTCCTCTGGAGAGAGGAAATATAGAGTCATTTAAATATTTATGTATCTCTACCATTTTCTCAGTATAGTTTCTTCATTTACACATAGAAGAGGACCTTTGCACAGAGAGCAGTAACACCTAAGCATTTCTTGTAGGGAACGAGTCCTAGATTAAGTAAACTATTTTACACATTGAGGCTGTGTGCCACACTGCAGCAATCCAAAGGCATTTTTCCAAACATCAGTGTTTTGCTGATATCTTTAAATTCTGTAGTAAGGACAAAGATGGAATGCACCCAGATATATAGCTGTTCTTTAGGTCTGGTTTGCCCCCTGCTGGGCTCTGCACAAATTGTAACTCTGTAAAATAGGAACTAGATGGTGTTTGTGTCTGTGTGGAAAGGAGTCTTTGAAAGCCTGCAGCTGCCCTAGTCCATCAGCATTCCTTCTCATAAGCTCCTCATCATCAAACTACACTTGTTCCAGCTGTTCTCTGGTCCATGCCTTCCTGACTTGAAAGCAGTCATTTCTTTTGCATCACTCAGGAAATTCCATGCTCCTCCAGTTGCTGTGTCCTTAAATACTTCACACTTCATTTGCTAGGATTTACTTTGTGTGTAGTATGAAGTAATATTAAACTCCTCATTCAAACCTACCAGTGGTTAGAAACACTACTATATTGAAAACTGACATACAATTGTTTATTTCACTGCTTTAAATTTTTTAATTTATATCATTTTAATTTTAACTTCTAATATGCCTTATTAAATAGTGCATATTATTCCTTATTATTAGTTTTTAATTAGTTCATTTACTCCTGAAGTTATTAGTTATTTTCAATGTCTTATTTATCCAGATTAACTTAGACAGGACTGTGCATCGCAAAACAATGGTAGTCAAGTAAAGTGCCCAGCAGGCAGCTAAACAGGAAACTTGATTCATTCACTACTAACCTGAAGTTGCCAAATACTTTTAAATTTCCATGTTTTAAAATACTTGTATTTCTGGACATGGTGGCATACATCTTGAATCCCAGCACTCAGGAGGCAGAGGCAGGCAAATCTTTGAGTACAAGGTCAGACTGGTCTGGAGGGTGAGTTCCAGGTCGGCCAGAACTATGCAAAGAAGCTCTGTCTCAAAATATGTATGTGTGCGCGTGTACACACGCATGTACACACACACACACACACACACACACACACACACACACACACACACACACGGACTGACTGGAGAGATGTCTCAGCAGTTAAAAGTAGTGCCTCTTCCAGAGGTGTAGGGTTCAATTCCTAGCACCCACATGCCAGCTTACAACTGCCTTTTCCAGGGTATCCAACATCCTCACACAGACATATATTCAGGCAAAATTTCAATGGACATGAAATATAAACAAACATCACCTATATCAACACCTAAAATCTTTTTCATGCAAGATACCCAACTTAAATGCACACATAAAAAAAAAAAAAAGGTTACTGTACCTTTATATGCTTTACTCCACAGCTGACCATTCTATTTGGCTGATATGGATCCCAGGAAATATCAAAAATCTGTCAAGAAATTAAATGCTCTTCAGAGATCAGTGCAATCACAAAGACTGTAATCTGCTGCTCATGTCGGCAGTGCAGATGAAAGCGGAGGTCCTAACTCCGAGAAGCTGTGGTGGCGCTCTACCCCCTCATTGCTCCTTACCTTCAGCACAAGTACACAAGTTATTAACCTTAGTCACTGAGTGCAACTGGTATCATATATTAGATTTTTCCATTTGTGGAAAATAACTTTTGACAATTAGGGCAATTTTTAAAATCAAATTTTCTGAACTCTTCATAATACTGATAAAAAATCTTTGGAGATAGCTTTTCAATAAAAACTAGAAGAATTATAAAACAATAATACATTTTACTTCATGCAATATTTAATAGCTAGCTATAATTCAATGTGGGCAACTACCCAGTTGTAACAGAAGGTAAGAAAGAAGTCATTTTCCTGGTGGCACTAGATTATCCCAGTCCTTGAAACCATTCAATGTACTCCTAAGAACTCTTATATTTTCAAATTCTCACACTAAATTCAGTATGAAAGACAAGCAGACCACAGTTTACATTTAGCATTAAGGAATCCCAAATAAAATACTAACTCTTATAATAATATTTTTTGTGAATATTTCCTAATAACCATTTCCACGAGTCAATGGACATATATAAATGACCATAATTTTGAATTCTTTTCTATTTTGAGTTTATAAGAAGCCAAATGCCAGCATTGAAAAAATCTGTTTTGCTTGTGAAAATCAATAACAACCGTTAGCCACTAATCATAAGTAAATCATGTTTGAATATTGAACATGTAGGAGAAAAATCTAAATATGGCAGATTTACTTTTAAACATATAAAATGACAATTATTTCACAGTTCTGGAATTTTCATTATTTGATACCACAAAGGTCTTACCCGGTCAGAATGGCCAGTAGCTGAGGCCAGAAGTTTTCCCTTTCTCCAGTCCCAAATGCAGACTGTGTTTTTGGCATCCAATCCCACAGAGGCTAAACGCTTAAGAAAAAAGAAAGAACAATTTAATACCTGAAAAAATGGGAAGATTTCCTACTATTAATACATACTTTCTTTTTACAAACACTTCTTTATTTAAAAATAATAACTTTACATATCAATCCCCCATTCCCTCTCCCTCCCATCCTCCCATGCCCCCAAACCACACCCTACCTACTCCCCAAGGACAGTGAGGCCTTCCATGGGGGATCATCAAAGTTTGTTGCATCATTTGGGGGAGGGCCTAGGCCCTCCTCCATGTATCTGAGTTGAAATGGGCTCCCAACATCCATTTGTGCACCAGAGATAAATACTGGTCCCACTGTTAGAGGTCCCATGGACTGCCCAGGCCTCCTAACTGGCACCCACATTCAGAGGGCTTGGTTTGGTTCAATGTTGGTTCTCCAGCTTTACCACTGGGGTTCCTGTGCTCTCACTAGGTCAGGTCATCTGTTTCTGTGGGTTTCTCCAGCATGGTCTTGACACCTTTGTTCATCACTGTTCCCTCTCTACAACTGGATCCCAGGAGTATGGCTCAGTGTTTAGCTGTGGGTGCCTGCTTCTGCTTCCATCAACTACTGGATGAAGGCTCTAGGATGGCAATTAAGGTAGTCATCATTCTCATTATAGGGGAAGGGCATCAAAGGCAGCCTATCCACTACTGCCTACATTGTTAGTTGGGGTCATCCTTGTGGATCTCTGAAGATTTTCGTAGTGCCAGATTTCTCTTTAAACCTATAATGGCACCCTCTATTATGGTATCTCTTTTCTTGCTCTCCTCTACTCAACCAAACTCAATCTTCCTGATCCTTCTTGTTCTCCTCCCCCTACTCTTCTCCCCTTCTTTTTCCTCCCTCCCTCCCATGCTCCCAATTTTCTCAGGAGTTCTTGTCCCTTCCCCCTTCTTCAGGGGACCATGTGTGTCTCTCTTAGGGTCCTCCTTGTTTCCTAGGTTCTCTGGAGGTGTGGATTGTAGGCTGATAATCCTTTGCTTCATGTCTAATATCCATATATGAGTAAGTGCATACCATGCTTGTCTTTCTGTGACTGGTTACCTTACTCAGGATGGTTACTTAATAGCTACGAGGGACTATATATTGAATCAAAACTCATCCTAATCCCAAACTAAAGGTGTCACTATAGATGGCTTTCCAGTCCATAGACATTTCACACCTGCAAGATTACACCATTTGTTTCATTTCACCATAGCATACAAATGTGCAGTTTGTGAAGTTGCTGACAGGTCTTAAGAACACAGCTTGAAGGCAGGAATTAATAATCATGAAAATTTTTACTGTAAGAGATTGAAATGATGACTCACACCTGTAACCTCAGCTCCAATGGAGCAGGAGATTTATAAATCCACAGCCAGCCTGGAGGCTGTGGAGTGAGCTGCAGGCCAGGGTAGACTACAATGTGAAATCTTGTCTTAAAAAAAAAAAAAAATTGACGAACTGCTCCCACCACGCTGGAACATCCAGAACCTGCCCTCACATCAATCTTGGCCCCCCCTACATCCTCTGCTTGAGGTGAGTGTTTGGCCAGCTCAGGTCCAACAAACCTCACCTGCTCCTTGGAACTTCCTGGGTTGGTTCTGTCCATAGCATGGTGGACTGGTCCTGCCATTTGGGACTATCTAGAGCCTGCCCTCATCTCAATCTTGGACCCACTACACCCTCTTCTTGAGACCTCCAAGAGAGCTCAGACCATCCAGAGTTACTGACATCGATGTCCAGACCCACCTACACCTACCAGGAGAGGAAGGTAGAGAGAGAGAGAGAGAACCCACCTCTCACTGGAAGAAGGGATGGGAAGATGGCAGTACAAGAATGCATTACACAATACAAAGATCAGTATGACACCACCAGAATCTAGGGACTCTACACCAACAAGATCTGAACATACCAGAGCAGATGAAGCAGAAGAGAATGAGAAAATCCCTTAAAGAAATGGAAAAGAAAAAATGAACAAAAATTGGAAGAAATAGAGGAAAAGATGAACCAAAAACTGCAAGAAATAAACAAATCTCTTAAAAAATCAAGGAAAGCCAGGAAAGAAGAACAGAAGGATGAAGGAAACAATTCAAACAGTTCAAGACCTGAAAACTAAAATAGAGACAATAAAGAAAATACAAACTGAGGGAATGCTGGAAATAGAAAAGCTGGATAAATGATTGGAAACTACAGATGCAAGCTTAACCAACAGAATACAGAGATCAAAGACAGAATCTTAGGTTATAAAGATAACTTAGAGGGAATAGACTCGTCCACCAAAGAAAAATTTAAATCCAACAAATCCTTAACACAAAATGTGGGACAATGTGAAAAGACCAAACCTAAGAATAATAGGTATAGAAGAAAGCAAAGAAGCCAAGCTCAAAGGTGAAAAAAACATATTCAACAAAATCATAGAAGAAAACTTTCCCAATCTGAAGAAGGAATGGTTACGAAGATTCAAGAAGCTTACAGAACACCAAATACACTGGACAAAAAGAAAAAAAAATTCTCTCAAAACATAATAATCAAAACACCAAACATACAAAATAGAAACAGAATATTAAGAGCATTGAAGGAAAAAGGCCAGGTAACATATAAAGACAGACCTATTATAATTACACCAGACTTCTCCATGAAAACTCTGAAAGTCAGAAGATCCTGGATAGATGTTCTACAAACAGCAAGAGACCATGGATGCTAGCCCAGACTACTATATCAGGCAAAACTATCAATCACTATAGATGGAGGAAACAAGATATTTAATGACAAAACCAGATTTAAACAATACATATCAACTAATCCAACTACAGGAAGTTCTGGAAGAAAAACTCCAACACAAGGAAGTTAAGAAAAAACATAGGAAATAGATTATCCCACTTTACCACAACCCAAAAGAAAAAGCAGGGTAAATCTACTCACAATATCACCACCAACAATACATCCAAAACAAACAAGAATTAACAATCAATGGTCCTTAATGTCCTTCAATATTAATGATCTTAACTATAAAAAGGTTAACAAAATGGATAAGAAGATAGAATCCATCCTTCTGATGCATACAAGAAATATACCTCAGCTTCAAAGACAGACACTACCTCAGAGTAAAGGATTGGGAAAAGATTTTCCAATCAAATAGACCCAAGGAACAAGTGGGTGTAGCAATCTCATTATCTAACAAATTAGACTTTAAACTAAAATCAATCAAAAGAGATAAAGGAGATCATTTCATATTCATAATAGGAATAATCCATCAGTACAAAGTCTCAATTCTGAACATCTATGCTCCAAATATAAAGGCACACAAATTCTGTAACAGAAACACTACTAAAACTCAAATCTCATATAAAACCTCACACACTTATAGTAGGAAAATTCAACATCCCACTCTCACCACTAGACAGGACCACCAGACAGAAACTTAACAAAGAAACAAAAGAATTAAGTTATGACCCAATTGGATTTAACAGATATCTATAGAATATTCAATCCAAACACAAAAGAATACACCTTTGTCTCAGCTCCACATGGAACCTTCTCTAAAACCGACCACATACTCAGCAACATAACAAACCTCAACAGATTAAAAAAAAAAAGTTGGAAGAGTCCTCTGGATCTTAACAGACCACCAGGCTTTAAAGTTGGATTCAACAACAACACAAAATACAGAAACCCTAAAAACTCATGGAAACTGAACAATAAACAATTGCACCATTCTTGGGTCAAGGAAGAAGTAAAGAAATTAAAGACTTCCTAAAATTCAATGAGAAATAAGACACAACATACCCAAATTTATGAGACATTTTGAAAGCAGTACTAAGAGGAAAGTTCATTGCACTAAATGTTGACATGAAGAAAACGGAGGATAGTCACATTAGAGAATTAATAGCACAACTGAAAGCTCTAGAACAAAAAGAAGCAAACTAACCATAAATGAATAGATGCCAGGAAATAATCAAATTGAGGGCTGAAAACAATAAAGTAGAAACTAGGAAAACAATACAAAGGATCAACGTAACAAAGAGTTGGTTCTTCAAGAAATCAACAAGATAGACAAACCTTTATCTATACTAATCAAAAAAAGCAGAGACAGAACATTCAAATTAGCAAAATCGGAAATGAAAGGGGGACATAATAAGGGACACTTCAGGTCATACTTTGAAAAACTGTAAGCCAAAACAATTTGAAAATTTAAAGGAAATGGATAGTTTTCTGGACAGATATCACTATCAAAATTAAATCAAGAACAGATAAGAATTTAAATAGACCTATAACCCCTAATGAAATAGAACCAGTTATTAAAAGTCTCCCAACTAAAAAAAGCCCAGGGCCAGAATTCTAACAGAAATTCAAAGAAGAGATAGTACCAATACTCCTCAAATTATTCCACACAATAGAAGCAGAAGGGCCATTGCCAAACTCTTTTTATGAGGCTACAATTACCTTGGTACCCAAGCTACACAAAGACATAACTAAGAAAGAGAAATACAGACCAATATCTCTCATGAACATTGATGCAAAAATACTCCACAAAATACTGGCAAATTGAATCCAAGAACACATCAGGGAAATCAGTCACCATGACCAAGTAGGCTTCATCCCAGGGATGCAGGGATGGTTCAACATATGAAAATCTATCAGTGTAATCCATCATATGATCATCTCACTAGACGCTGAAAAAGGCTTTGACAAAATCAACACCCCTTCATGATAAAGGTCTTGGAGATATCAGGGATAACAGGAACATACCTAATCATAATAAAAGCAATATATGGACCCCATCACCAGACCTCTGCTGGAGGTGAGTCTGGGACCAGTTCAGATTGAATTCCCCCTCCCCCCTTCCCTGGGAACTCCCGAATCTTGCTCCCCACTATATCCTTCCCCACAGAGAACACTCCTAGTAAGTACTCTGATCCACAAACCACTCCACCCAGAATCTTCCCTCCCCCCCCACCCTGTGCCCCACTGAGCCCACTACCCCACTGCTCTGGTTGAGCACTGGGACAG